TTAATACTGTTATTAGGCATTCTACTAACTGTCAGGTGTCATCCAGAAGCCTTAGCCACTTCACTGACAATCCTCAGGAGGCCTGCAGTGATTACTGCTCCCATCCATGAGACTCTAAGAAGATCAGGGATCACAGACAGAAGTTCCATGTTGAAACCTTTAGACAAGAATGTGGTCCTCATTTCTGATTTCTCTCATCTAATGGAATCTAAAGCTTATAGAAGTCTTCACTGAAGAGACAGGGTCACTGGCATGGGTGGAAATGCACCACAACACAGCAGAAATATGAAGAGAGCATTTTAAGTCAGATGCAGAATACTAAGCTGGCAAAGTGAGTGAAGAGCCAGAGACCTTAAGACCATCTGTGTGCTGACGCAAGTGACGAAGTTCAATGTCCCTAGTTTTTACAAGACATGGACCAGGACTTAATAAGGAAGTGCAAACAAAGCTGGTGACCATTCTGGGGAAAGCCTGTCATCAGCAGAACTGCCTTCTTGGTGGTAGGTCAACAAGACCATCACTTTCTATCTTTATTCAAAATCTCCATTGCATTTACCATGGAAAGGATGACTACTCCAGATTCAGCCAAAGGAACACCACGTATGTATGAACCAGGCCTGCTTCCCTCTGGCCATCCATATCCTCCAAAGTCAAACACCTGGGTGGCAGATGTGTCCAGATGCAACAGACCTTCCCAGAACAGCTGCACACAAGGCGACAAAGTCAGGGGGGAGGAGGGAACCCAGATACATTAACAAGAGGGGCAGGCAGTGCTTGGGAGTAATCAAGCATGCTTTCTCAGACTTCCTGGAATCGCGGGACCTTGGGATGTTTGGGAATCAGCCCTGAAGTGGTAGATATTAGTTTTGTCCCATGGTTTAATCAGGCAGATGCAGAGACTGGGAAAGCCATCTTTTGTCATTGAGAGCGTGCTAGAAAACATGTGCTTGGCAGCTTGTGGGACTTTCCTCAGGGTTCCTTCAACAGTCTATGTTAGGAAGGTCTCCTGAGGTAGGCTGTAAGGTGAGGACAGGCCTTCACTGTTGATTGGCAGACAAGTCTGAACCTTTGTAAGTAAGGAATACACCTAAGGACCCTGTTCAACAGTCAGAGCCCTTAGGAATGAGTAGTATATCTGATCACTATGTCCCTCAACTCCATCCTTCCTCCATTCCACAAGGATCCCCTATTGCATCTGGAACCAAGGATACATTAAATAAAAACAGAACAAACGAAGGAATAAGCAAATATAGGGCAGTCCAGCCATGAGGCAGTTAATCAGCTTCCTTTTATGCTTTCTTTGGGGATAAGAGTTGGAAGCACAGTTGTTACCAGCATTCTTTCTCCCAGAGTTTCCTGGCACCCCCTGGCTCTTCTCCATTCCCTCAACTAAAGCATTCCAGGCCTCTGGCCTCCGGGAAGGGAGGACACAGAGGAACTCAGAGGCTAAAGGAACAAAAGCTGGGGTTTTGAGTCTTCAAAGCTGAGGAACCTCAGGACACAGAGAAAATGGAGGCACTACTTGGGCCCCTCCCATATTCCTCACCTAATCTCTATCCCCTGGTGAGATTGCTAGGCAAGATTTATAACCTGGACTGGAAAGAAAGACAATCCAAGGGTAGCTAAAGTGCTGGCAGACCTAAGGGGCATATGTGTTCCATATCGTGCCCAGTTCCTACCCTGAGATGGTGCTTCCAGTATACAGGCAAATACTCCAGAATTCATATACATTTATCAGTGCTGAAAGGCAACAAGACCCCTGGGCTTCCTCTACACTCTCCTTGCTATTGCTGGACAGGAGACAGTATCTGCATGCCCAAACAGACAACCCAGCAGGAAAAGGGTCTCTGCCCATCAGGCTTGTCATGGGGAGGCCCCAGAATAGTCAAGTGGTTCCAAGGTGATTCTCTGGAATGGGAAGGCCATAGCACTGGTTTGTGCATGGACTGATGACAGAAGACTAGACGGGTGACTCTGGAAATGCCTGCATGATTAGATAATTAAAAAGCTTTCTCCTGCTTTGGCTTTGGGTAAGCCATAGAGAAAAGGGAGGAGAGACACTGACTTCACTGAGAGTGCACACCCACCAGAGCAGCAGAAGCTACAGACAGAAGCTAAACAGAGGTCAGGTAGCACTGTGGTGCGCATACTCTTGAAAGGTGTGTACTGCAATTCATGGTCATTACTTGTTCATGACGCAGTAGAGTTCTTAACTAAAGTGGGTGACCTTGGAGAAGGACTCAGACAACTCCTATGCCCTTTCCCATGTCTATTCAGAGTTGATCCTGAAAGAAACTCAAGAGCTGTGGCTCTGAGCTTCTGGTCCCTAACGAACTGTGATACCAACGCTCTGCAGAGGAAGTAAGGGTACATCCCTGCAGCTGGCCCAAGTGTCCACAGACAAGCTAAGGAAGAAAAAGACCCAACAGCTCAAACCACGTCCACTTCTGCTGCTGTTTCCATGGAAACTAGACCTTTTGCTGGGGACAAAAATCTTCAAAGGAGAAATGAATGTGAGTATCTAACTATTATAAGGGGTGACTGTGAGAGAATGCAGTTTTCTTCAAGCCCCCACTGTAACGACTGGCACGTTGTATGTATCCATGGACCTCTTGACCACTGTGTGACAGTCTCAGCTGTATTCAATGTTTTTTGATCCTGAGTGTTCCCTGGGAGGGGAAAAGTAGAAATATCTTACAATGTCACTATACCCTACAAATTCAGTGCTTTCTTCTTTTCAATAAAATAATTTTTTTTTTACCAATACTTCGAGAATTTCATGTACACAGAAGATCAGCAGATCATGCACCTTGATCACATTCACCTCCCACTTTTCACTTTCTTAGTTGCGATCTGAATTTGTTTCCTCATGTTAGGTAGCTAATTAGACATTATTAGACAGTACTAAGAGTGTGTGAGACTTAAGAGTCCCTAGAGTATTCATGGAGAGACAGTAATCTTATCACCTTTAGTTTTCAACTGAGGACAGGGAGGGTCTGAAGGGTTTTGCTTGAGGAAGGATGATTGATGCTTCCCATCTGGAAACAAAAAGGGATGCCAAAGACAGCAGAATTTGAGCACAGATCTTTCTGACTACAAAATAGATGCAGAAAGCAACAGTACAAAATGAATAAGTCATAGGGAATTACCTCAAATCACTTACAGAGAATATTTAATGAGCTGAGGCCTGGAGAAAAGACTTCTGCTCCATATGTTTACTAGGAGATGGGTCAGGATATAAGCTGGTCTCACATATATTTTTCTCTAAAGATTTGTTCTTTTTCCTAACACGAGTGAACTAGTCTGTCTTCATATTAACTACTGAGATTATTATGGTGCCTTTCAAAGCCCCCAAGACTTCTTCTGAAGGAAGAAGTCTACAGAGGATGCTCCAGAAACTCGGTGATATTCTAAGGACACTCAAGCTCTCAGAAAACCTGCATCAAAGGTTTACTTAGAGTATAGTGACAGTACCTTGGCATCCAATAGAGTGGGTTTCTTAGGGAGAAGTGGCCCTGGACACATGGATGCAAGAGATAAGAAAGTGCTAATGCTCACTAAGTGCCCACCATGGACAAGTCAGGACTGACCGGATCATCACAGTTAGGTGCTCAGCAATCAGCAAGGAGAAAAGCATTTCCTAATTAAAAAAGAAAAAGGTGGGGGAGCTGGAGATGGCTTAATTGGTAACACAGGAAGACCTGAGTCTGGGTCCCCAGCTGGTTACAATAGTCATGTCTGTAACCCTACTGCTGGAGGATGGAAACAGGAGAATCTAGAGCTGATAGGCCAGCAAGTCCAGCCAATCAGAGAGCTGCAGGATCAGCAAAAGAGTCTGTCTCATAACAAAACCCAAAGAGAGTAATGGAAGACTTTTGGTGTCACATCCTCTAACCTCTAATCTTCATATACCCTATACACATGCACATACCCATATGGATGGAGACACACACAGAGAGAGAGAGAGAGAGAGAGAGAGAGAGAGAGAGACAGACAGACAGACAGACAGACAGACTGACTGACAAAAGGGGGAAGAGCGCAGAGGGACAAGATCACTGAGAAACTTAATCGGACTTGGTGGAACTACAAACTGAGCCATGAACCTGTCTCTGAATTCCGCAACTCATTTTCTCCTACTCTTTTGTTCACCCTCTAGGAAGCTGTTTTGGAACTCTATGGTGATCTTCGGATTTTCAGTGTCTAGATGGCCCAGTATCCATGGGTCAGGCCCTCCTAATAATAAATGATTCCATGTGTCTCATAGCTTTGAGCACACTGCCTGGGGCAAATGTGCTTGGAAACTGGATCCAAATCTGAGCCTTGAACCCAACTCTGATTCACATCTAGAAACAAACAAACAAAAAAAGTATCTCTAGACATTTAGCTATAGTCCTGTGCGTGAGCAAGAAACAGGTCCATTTTTCTTTATCTACAGGTTTCCTCTCCAGGGTATGATGTACACAGAGCAGTCATTGTGTTAGATGGTGTCTGCTTCAAAGCAGAGGCATGGCTTCTGGCTAACTCTGTTGCACCTTCTCCTGCTGTCATACGTAATGTGTTAAAATATTAAGGCATCCATTTTAAGTTACTCTCTTTGTATTTCTTACAGAAATATTACAGTTGGGGCATTTGTAGGTTATTTTTTGGTGGTGTATTAGATAATAGGCTATATTTTATATTTACATCTTTAAATAGCTAAGATAGTCCATATTATTTAAAAAGGGCAAGGATTTTGAGTTGGATAGGGTTGGAAATTTCCTCCTTTCAGCGTCCCCTCTACCACTGTGCCCAGGGCGCATCTTTCCTTTTCTGCTCTTGGCCCTTCCTGTCTGTAGCTCACCTTTGCTTGTCTTGGCATGAAGCATAAACCTGGCTTCAGAAAAGCTCACATGCTAGCATGTGCTGTTCTTTCATTTCTCATGATTCTGATCAAGATATAAGACATTGGTATCTGAGACAAAGCTCAGCCGATGACTGTCTCCTCTCAGAGATGAGCAGGGATGGAGAAGATCCTTTTGCGAATAGGGAAACCCAGAAAAGTAAGTGACCTCTTTCCTTGGGGGCTACATCCGAGTAGAGAGCTGAAGAGTTCAGCCCTGCTGTGGGCACTATCAGAAAGCTCGGTCTGAACTGCTGGCAGGCTGGGGGAGGATACAGAGCCTTTCAAAACTTTCTTTCACGAAGCATCTCAGTTATTATTGTCAGCACTTGGGTTATCATTGCCTTGGGAGAAGAGGTGGGACGGGATGTGGGTGTGGGTGTGGGTGTGGGAGGTGGTGCTTTGCCGTTTTGTGGCATCTGCCAGTTCCCTGAATTAAGGAAGGCAACTAAGAGCAAAGGAGCAAGCAGGGAACAGAGCCTCCAGGAGATTAAAAGGGGCCTTTGTAGTGGCTACATCTGTACATTAAAATAAATCTCTCTCAGTGCTAAAACAACATCTACATTCATTTGGGCCAGGGCCACATTCAGAATTTGAGAAATCTGACAAACATTGCTTCAGCATGTTGAAGTCTGCCAGCTCACGACAAGACAAGAAAGTGACTCCAGCGGCTGTGGAGAAACACTCCCGACTCCCCACTTTCACTCCTGACTCCCGTTTTCCGGCTTCAATTGACAGAAAAAGATTTTACCCTTTTTTCAGGTGCCAACCTCTCAGCATAGTCCTGAAATGGGCAGCAAATTGCCCTTGAAGGTGGTAGACTTCAAGAGGAATTCTGCTCTTTTCCCCTACAGGAGGCTGCTAGAGGCTCTGCGTGCCGGATAAAGCCTTTAATAGCTGGAGAAACACAATTTGGGGTGGCCCTCGGGTAGACTAGACATGAATAATGCCTCATAAAAATAATTAACTTCTACCAGAGTACACACGCCAGAGGAGCTTGGTGGGGGCTGTCTCAACCAAGTAAATGGAATCTTCCCCGCAGGAAGCTTTCAAAGGGGAAGAGCCATCTGCCGCAGGGATCGTATTCACTTCTTTGGAGTGTGGTCCTTCAAAACCAGTTCTGGAATTTTCTGAGGGCTTGGCTAAGCAACACTGGGAGGTTTGTAGGATAGCTGTTTGTGAGTGTGCAGGATAATCAGGTCTAGAGACAACCAATTTACATCTTGAGGATGGTAACCCCGGATGTTAACTCTAGGGCAGCCTGTGTACCTGTCGCATGGGTCAAGGCTGAAAGCTGGAGTGTACTACTGATCCCAGCCTTGCTATCTCAGACGCCAGCAGCTGGAGGTGTGCAAAGGTCAGAAGCTGACCCTAGAGTCTTCAGAGATGGCTCCAGCTCTAGTCGGACTGGAAGAGCATAGAGCATGTAGCTATCTGGGAACATACCTTCCTTTAGTTGAGCAGTAGAGATCCCCTTCTCTCTTACTAATACCCCATTGTTTCCTTTAGGAAATGATATGCCTACAGTTTCCATTCATGAGGTCAGTTGTAGATTTAACTCTTTATCGCTGAGCTACAGGGATTCATCCTTCCTTCTTCTACCATGAAAGGCACTGACGTGAGCTATGCTAAGGAACATCCGCTCTAGGACTCTCAGCTGAAACTTTGGGGAATGAAATAGAGCTCTTCTTTTCATTGACTTCACTGAGCTGGTCCAAGGGGGCCACTGGGTAAAGTAGGTATGCTGAGAACATGGCTGACATCAAGGAAAGTAAAACAAGAAACTGAGAGCCTTGGTGAGTTCTGCTGTGTCCTAGATCCAAAGATACCTGAAGGCAGATAAAGCTTTGTTTGTTTTGATTTTTAGTTACATGAAATAGGATCTACCTACTCCAGATGATCAAATAACTAGTTCCTTTTCACTTACTGATACTTGGCTTAAGCTAATTTGAATTTGGTTTCTGTTGTCTACAGTGGATAGCAATCTGACATAGTCAACTGTGGTCTAGCTTGGTAATGTCTCCTCACAGAAGAAGAGCAAATGTGACAGCTGATGACAGGTGTGGTATGTGAAGCAGGTTTATGACATGCATGTTCTCTTTCTTCCTTCAAGGTAAGTGTCACCCATGAATACTGGAACACCTTCTTAGGCAGCTTCAGGACCTTTCCAATGCAGAGTACCAGGAGGCTGAGGTGCCATCAATGGATCAAGTTGGATGAGTATGCGGTGATTCACTTGGTACAACCTTTCCAGAGACATGAGGCCTTTGCATCCACCGCCATGGTACACATGGGCTCCTTCTTTGCTCTAAGTAACTCAGTGAAGATGACAAACATCAGAGAGATGGCTCATCAGTTAAGAGCACTTGTTGCTCTTTCAAAGGTCTGTAGTGGAAAACCACCTGTAGCGGCCTTTTTTAAAACTTTAGTTTATTTGGGGTGTTTAGGCCTCTACCTCTCTTCCACCAACCTCCCCAGCCTTAAGTAGGAGAGAAAAAGGGTTAGTGGTGAGATGGAGTCCAAACCCCTTTACTTCTCCCTGGTAGTTAGTGTCAAGGGGTTCTTTTAGGGTTCTATACCAATCTCTATCAACCACAGAGACAGCTAGCAGTCTCCTCCACACTGCTGTACCCCAAAGCATTTCTCTCCATCTGTCTGCTCCAAACTGCCACACTGCCTCTTGTCTGTGGTCTCTCCAAACTCTACACACTACATGCCGCACAGAACGCCACCTTATCTCTTTCTCACTCTCATGTTTATACTCTCAGAGTCCTAGACCAAATCCTTCTCCCTGTGGCACATGGAAGGCAAAGATCATGCCCCACACGTGACAATTAACAGGTGAGGACAAACTATAGCCTGACTGAAATCCCAAACCTGGGATTAAAACAAAAGCATATTTACATAACATACAAAGAAACCAAAACTTATATTACAGAAGTCTGGGGTTTGATACCCAGCACCAACATGGTGGCTCACCAACCATCACTACTCCAATTCCAAGACATCTAAATCCCACTTCTGGAGTGTACACAGAAAAACAGGCAGGCAAAACACACACACACACACACACACACACACACACACACACATATATATATATATATGTGTGTGTATATGTGTTTAATATATATATAAAGAGTAAAATATGTATATTATATATTATACATATATATGTATAATATATATTATATTATAGTATATATATATATTATATTATACTCTTAATATATATATTAAGAGTCAAATATGTATATTCCCCAAAAGGGCTGATTGCTAATCTTTGCAGTGACAGTGATCAGAAATCTTTCACTTTTTCAAAAGGTAGAGAGGTTGCATACTAAGGGATCACTTGTCTTGCTGACTTCCATTAGTCACCCTGGATTGACCATACATCTAAGCTTTTCCAGATACAATGGTTCCTATTTCTTTCCCTGGACAAGAAATCCAAGGGCATGTGTGCTAGGTAGTAGAAGAGCAAGGATACATGCTTTTGTAACTTGGGGTCATAGAAAGGTCCAGAATACTTAGTGGGTGGTATTCAACTGGATCTTCCCACCTTCTCCATAGGTGGTCTGCCTTGCATGAAGACCAGAGGTCAGGCTCTCATTTCCCATGTCTGGCTCCCAATTTAGAGCTTGCCAATGAGAGGTTAGTGCTAACTTTAGGGAGCATCAAAGACAGTGGGACCATGTTGCTCTGGGAGCAATGCAGGCAGATGTGTTGGCAAATGTATGATCTGAAGGTTTAAAGGAGCTCTCAGCTACATTCTTGAAAACTACCTGTACAGATTCCTCAAAACCCACCTCCCTTCTTCATTCACTGATTGCAAAAGTTCTTCATTCCCTGCTCAAATTTAGCGTGCTTGGAACACAGAACAGAGCTTCTGTTTCAAGGCTCAGGGCCTAAGTGATAGAGGCTGGACTTCCTGCTTTCATGGGGTAACACCACACCAAAGAGTCCTTCATATGCTGCCAAGTCTCAGCTATCTCCACACTGTAATTCAGCAGATTCCAGTGCCAGGCCATCGTGGGACCCCTCATACTCAAAATGTGGAGGGTCTGAGCTGCTATCCTATATGCACTATATTAAATGTTCTTGCCAACTACAGGATCCCAGCCACATCCTTGAACTTCTTTCTCTCTGCCTGGCGCTTGCTTTCTCTTAGGGCTGCATTAGCACTTGAAAGATGAGTCCACCCTTTCTCTTTCATAGTCAACTGAAAAAGCTGAGAGGCGGCACAGAACTATTCTGGGCTCGGGATCAGAGTCCAGCATTTCCACTTACCGGCCACGGAAGGAATTTGGGCAAGTTATTTAATATCTCTCGGCTCAATTTTAAAGCTAAGATGATAAAGTTAGATCAAGCAGAGTGTCTGGCACACAGTAAAAGCCCAGAAATGGTTATCTTTGGTATTATAGCATTTTCTCAGGATGCAAAATCACTTTCCTTCAGGGGTTCCAGAAAAGAATAATGAGGACCCTTCAGTCTGCCAGAGTCAGTAATATCCTTTCCCAAACCCAGCGACATGTTCCAGATCCATGAAGGTCTCTAAGAACTACATCTCATTGGCTCACCCCACTGTCTCTCACCAGCTGCTCCAGTAACAGGCCACTTCAATCCCCCTTAAACTGTTACAGCTCACAGCATCCAGCCACAATGCAGGGCTCCCTGCCTAAGGCTGTACAGGTAACCAGTCATCTGGAATGGACTCTGGTCACAGGCAGATCGTTTTTCATGCTGCTTATCCGTTTGTGTCTCCAGAGTCCTGGCACTAGAGTTGAAGATCCCTAGCATTGCTTCTCTGCCCCAGGAGTGTTTTCAACCTAGGACTAAGCAGTAAACAACCACTACTCCCAACACTGCATTTCCCACTTTTATGTCTTCCTGTGTGTCACAGTGTTTATGGAAGGAAGAGATGCTCTTTTGTGGGGAGGAGAGCAAAGCAGGGCGCCTTTGTAACGTGTGTGAACCTCGTACTCCCTGCCATTCCCATGAAGGTGTGCCATCCCAATCCTGTGGCAACAATGTAGACAAACTTCCTTTGCTTTGTTACATATGCTTTTCAGTTTTTTGTTTTTTTTTTGTTTTTTTCCAAACAGCACGAGAGTTCTAAGAAGTCAGGACTTACCAAATGATGTTCCAAGAAACTGATACACTGAGAATTCCAGACTGATAAAGATTAGCAAAGGGGGCATCTTAGCAGTCCTATTTTATGTACCACAAATACCAGTGTAGATGATCCTGAAAAGTGTTCCTGTCCAGAAAAAGCAGGAGTTTAAAGGGATGGACTGAAAAGCAGATTTTGGCGTCCTGGAAGATGAGAATTGCTAGTCTCCTTCCCCGTCAGGGAGGGATCTATTCCAGGTTTATAACCCCCAAGTAAGCCCTAGAATTACAGGCTAAGATGAGGTATCCTGTGCTCCCAGAGCACCCAACAGTAAAGCCCATCTACGAGTGATCTTTCACTCAGCATTTTAGTGCTTCATTAAATAGAAGGAGGCAGCACATGTATGTTAAGACCCCTCGTCATCAGGAAGAAAATGCTAACATAAAAGGAAATGAGCTAGAATTAATAGTGCAAGACACAAAAACAAAACAAACCCTCTATAGTCAATATGCTTAGAGAGGTATCATGTCCAGAAACAAGAACAGGCTACTATTAAAAAAAAAAAAAAAAAACAAAAAAAACTTAAAAATTTAAAATAAAAGAAACAAAACACATTTAAAAGTAGAAAGATATATTTGGGGGAAAAAATCTCCCATAAAGAAAAACAAAGACAACAATAAAAAAAAAAGCTGAAAAATATTTGAGATTGAAGCTTGCAAAAAACTCTGTATTATAAATTACGGGGAATTTCTAAACTCTAGTGAGAGTGGGTTTACAGGCACACTTTTAAGGTAGAAGTTATGCAAACCTGGTCATAACAAAGGATCAAAAGAAAGTGAAAAAAATGTCTGCAGATTTCTAGGCGACATTTCCAGCTCAGAATAGACAGCTGATTATCAAATAACACAGTAGGACCAAGGCTTTTCCAAAGCTGCCAGGACTGAAGAAAACAGCTTTCCCAATCTCAAAAAACTCTGAGAACATTCATGAGTGAAGTGAGTAACAAAGCTGAGAATAAGGAAGGCTTGCATTTAAGACAAAGGAGACCTGATACAGGAAATTAGTGATGGGGTCTCAGGAGGCCAGAAGCCCAGCAGGCCTAGAAAGCCATGGGAATGACAGAGGGTGTAATCCTCGCGCATGATGAGACAGGTAGAAATACTGAAGGGGCAGAAAGCATCAATAGAACTGGGAGTAAGGACACAAAGCTATAATTCCAGAGTTCAGGAAACAGAGGCAAGGGTATTGCCTCAGGTTTAGGGATAGCCTAGTCTACATAGAGAGTTCTAGGCCATCTAGAATTATACGGAGAGTCTCTCTTTCATCAACAACAAAAAGTACACATAGGCTTTTAAGGGAGCTGACAAAACACAGGGTGAAGGAGTTACTGACTGGAGAAAGAAGAACCAAGCAAATAAAGGAACAAGGGGATTTTTCACAGCAGGGGAAAATATAAAAAGAAACACACACACTAGTCATTATTTCACAAAGGGAATATGCATGAGACTGTTCTATATGACACACTGTCAGATAAATGAAAAGTAAGAAGCAAGCTGTGTCCATGTACTAGTGAGACTGCAAGGAGAGCTAGTGTGGAAGACACTTTAATCCACTATGAATCAAAGGAAACAATCAGCATTCAGAATAAGCAAAGAGCAGCAATGTCCACTGGCCAACGGGAAGCCGAACTGCTGAGAAGCTCGAAGCAGTTGTTTAGGAAGTAAACCAGGAGATGGAAGTGGAAGGTCAGGGCCTATTTGTTTTCTCTGTAAGCTACTTTAGTTTCAGTTAACGTTTAAAAACCATGTTCATGTACTTGGCAATGAGAGGAAGTCAGTTAGAAAGAGAAGCATTGAGAGGTGAAAAGAACCAGCAGATTCAAGCTCTTGGCACCTGGATGCAAGCCTGCTCTCTTCTTTGCTCTTTGTGTCCTTGTGCGCAAATCTGCAGCTGTGCACACTGAGAGATACAGCTCAGTGGAGGGCAAATGAGAGAGTCTATGGGAACACTGGTTGATACCTCTGTGTCATGATCTGCATCCATGAGCTTTCTCTGACTTTACCTGTCCAGAAGGTGCCTCTTAGCCACTACGAAGTCTTTTAATACATGTTCTGGAAAGCCAGGACTAAGGCACAAACAATTGTCTTACTCTGGAGAGCAGTCACTCTATGTGAAGTTTGTACTTGACAAAAGATGTATTTTTGATAAAGGAATCCCATGAGTGCCACCTGTGATTATAGCTGGGTGGGGCGACTTTTGGATCAACAACATAAGCTTACGCTGTTCCCCTTGTTCCTTTATTTGCTGTCTTTGTTGCTTCGTTATACTCAGGTTTGTCTTCTCACTGCACCCAAGATACCTTGACAGGTGCAAACTGAGCTGTAGACCTCTAGGGCATGGAAAGGTCAAATGTATGACCTTGAAGCCTCTGCCTGAAACCAAGCCCTTCGCCTAGCATCCATTCCTCTAGAGGTCAAAGGCAAACATCTGATACCCCATAGTGTTCTACCAAGATTCCATTAGCAGGAAGAAGTTATTACCTCCATAAAACTTGACCTTGTACTGTCCCACAAGCCATTAAATATTATGGGTTATCTACTCATGTCACAAAAGACAATGAGAACAATATGGGGTATTGTGTGGGGAGCAATGTTAGATATTGAAAAACCCAAATGTCATCAAGACTTTATTTACTGTTCTTCCACATAATCCCAGCTCTATAAAAATGAGGAATAATGAATGGGAAGTGGGAGAAGAAACCATAGCCAGGCAGCCGGTTCTGGAGCCGTGGTGCTCTAATCTGCACCAAGGAGTCTGCAGAGAGTGTCTACCAGGACCCATATGTTTCTGCGTGTGTAAGAATGCTCTTACACAGGGGTCTGACTTCATAACTGAGATTCTTTTTCATTTAATTCAGTCATATTAGATTATGGGCCTGATTATGATCATATCCACAAATCAGTATTTTAACAGAGTTTCCATGGAAACACTATATGCCCCTGTTTTTTAACTTTTTTGGACAAGGCTTTGCCTGTTTAACAACTTGAACAAGTTTGAGGAGGACAACATGTTTTGTTTAAGTTACATTAACTGGGGCCAATATTTCCTAATTGCATTACCAGAAGAAACATTCGCGGCATTACTCTGTACCATGGAAAAGCTCTGCTAGTCCAGCCTCCGATTTGCTTTAATCACTGGAGAACAGGAAACATCCGAGGATTGCCTTGTCTTATCAAGTTTTACATGTGTTAACTGGTTTTAAATCTATGGAATAATCTCCCTTATTAAATGACAAAGTTAGTCCTGTTAAATGGACCGGCATTTATAGCTGTATGCATTTTTTTTCAAGATGCAAACACACAAGATCCCCTTAGCTCCTGTTAGAGAGGTGAACTCATTGTGTATAAATGAGTGCCCCCCTTTTTTGTGTGTTTCAGAATGAAAAAAGCCCCCCTCAACAAATATCTTTAATACTATAATATACTAGAAGAAATGTGAATGTGACATGAAGGCAACAAGGGCTTTTCATAAAACAGGTTTTTTTTTGTTTTTTGTTTTTTGTTTTTTTTTTTTGGTCATTTTTGTGGCTTATATATATATGTGTGTGTGTATACATACACACATGCTTTTGTGTATCTCTCACTCTCAACCTTATTCCCTTGAAAGAGAATCTCTCACTCAGTGCTTTCCAGATAGACTGTTGGCCGGCAAGTGCTTTCCAGATAGACTGTTGTTCTTTGCACATACACGCATCATCGTCAGCACTGCTGGTGCTACAGGCTTGTATGTGAGAGCTAGGGCTCTGAAGTCGGGTCCTCACGATTGTGTAGCAAAGCTCTTGCCCACTGAGCAACTCCCAAGCCTCATAAAACCATGTTTGTTTGTTTGGGATCTTTGTAGGTATTCATACTTACACAGCTGGTGATATTTATTTCCAATAGCAGTAAGCAAGGAAGCAATGTAAAGCCAAGTTTTGTAAAATGCTATATAAAGATTGGAGGAAAGGCTTATGCACTGATATATGTCAAAGTTCACCCTGACAGTACATAAAACACATGGTCTAAGGGTTGTGAGATGTCTTCATCATAAAATGTTGTAGTGCTTAAAAAAAAAATATCAGTGAGGAATAGTATAATTTTATAGCATTGGGCACCAAGACAGTGATTTGAGTAAGCTGAGCTGCATTTTAACACATCAATGTATACTGTCCTACAGGGAAGCCAAATATCACTATAAGAGACATTCCTTGTTCTAGCTAGACTCAGTTAAGTCTTCCTTTCTGAAGAGTAAGGAGAAGACAGCTATGGTCCCCAAGGCTACAACTTGCTTGTTACAATGCACATGTTTATGTTCGTTCATCCATTTCTAGGCAAATGTCTTTTTCTGGGTGCAGAGTAAATGAAGACTAGACATCTCCATGGTGACTGTGGCTCCCTCCTGTCCACAGATGTCTGCTGAAAACCAGTGGATTGCTTTAGGGAGAACTCCAGCCTTTCTGTCTTCCATCCCTTTCTTTGAGATACTCATCTGCTCAGATCTCAGTCCTGGTATCTGTGCCTGTGCAGGAAGACTTCAAATTCCTCTGTGTGAGGGACATGGTCTCTACTTCTCCTTTCTAGTTATGCTCTCTGGAGGAGTCTGCATGTTCAAGGTGGACAAGAGCCCTTTTTAGGGTTGTCCAAACAATCAGTTGGGATGAGGAGCAAAAAGGCTGTAAATGCCTTGCCTTTCTTGCTACTGTCTGAAGATCAAAGGCAGTTCTCTCATTTCTGCCCAGTACCAGAAAGAGGTCACAAGAGCCTGCAGAGCGGCTTTGAACAGGGAAGCTGCCATAACCACCGTGTTCAAGATATGACTAATACTACCACACAGGAATGGACCACATCGGATCTAATGCTCTGAACCAGTGTACCCTTTCCTCACCTCTAGCCCTGAATGCTGTCCCCCAATGCTATAGGTAACAGACAACAATTCTTCTCTCATCTCCATGGCTGTGGCACCACAAGCAACAGCCACTAGAAGCTAGCAATGGTGGTCTGCTTCCTGTAAAACCTGAATGTCTCCACCAAGTCTGCTTCCTGTGGCTCTAAATTTTGTTTAGTGCCTTTCTTTTTCTTTTTCTTTTGCATAACTACAAGGGGCAGGGGGATAAAACAAGAGAACATAGCACAGTAGTAACAAGAAGTCAGGTAGATTTGTACGTAAGACTTGGCTGTAACAAGAAATAATCTGCAAGCTTTGTCAAGAGAGCTGGCCTATGAAACCTTGACCTTTTTTCTGGAAGATGAAATAGATAATAATCACTTCCAGGCATCACTGAAGATGCCAAGATGACCACCACATACAGTACCCCATGTCAAAGGCCACTCTTTGTTTTCTTAGACTTGGAAGTCAGGGTCTTACTGAATCATCCAGAGCACAGTGAGTTTGTAGACACATAGCAGCTGTGGATGTCGCCCCATTATCATAGGTAGAGGCTGACTTCCTAGTTTCTTCATCATGCCAGTTCATTTTCTGACATTGTTGACCCTTTCAGATCACTTTATGCTGTGGCCACTTCATTCCTCAGGCTGATGGAGCTGGTGTTCTGGGTGACATTCATGGTACCCAGGAGACTCACAGCAGTCCTGACAGCCATAGCTTCCCACAGCAATAACAGGTATGGTCCACCTGTCCAATAAAAGCACAGACTGGTGGGGTTGTACCAAGGCTTTTCTGGGACTACGTTTCAGAGGCAATCCTTTGGTTTTCTGTGCAAATGAACAAACTCCAGCTTCATTTTGTTGGCAACATGCCGGCAAACTGTGTCTCACTTGAAGGCCATTTTTAAAGGAAATAATTGGCTTATTTCCATTGCTACAAAAAAATAATAATGTTACTATGTTCACAAGAATAAGTACATAAAGTTGACATCAGGCCTCAGAGGTCAGGGTGGGGCCAGGTAACTTTGGTCAACTAATACTAGGCTTTAGCAATGTCGCACTTGGCATTTAATAAAAAGTCTTTAATAGACTTTAGAGACATTAAGGTCAGTCTGCATTGCAAATGTAAAGATGGAATTCAATGATAGTGTGGGACTTAGCAGGGTACCAGGGGCTGAGTGATGTTGCCTGCCTATGCCTGGATCATGTCTAAAACCCTGAGGGTACTGAGGGAGGCCAGGAGGAGCCTGCAAATCAGTGGTTGTTGACATTAATACTTGCGTGCCACCTACTCTGCTGGGTTTTGTGTCTATGCTAACATCTGCAGTGCTCACAGGAGGGCAAGTTCTGTTCCAGCAGAGAAGCTGAAGGGCCTAGAAGAGCCTGTTCTGCCACACTGGACTCTGGGACATCTGCACTAAGCAGGGAAGAGCCTCTGTTACAAGCCGTATGGAAAGCTTGAGATGAGAAACATGTGTACCGATGTCCTGCCATGCCCGCAGACATCACCTTCCCACAGTTTATCCAGAGGACAGCAAGATGCTCCTTGCTAGCTACAGAGCCACTCAAGGTTGTCAATAGTGAAGTGTCAGCCTAGCCCAAGTGCCCTGCAGGGCTCCTATGCTGACACAAACGCCAGACAGCAGCATTCATGCAGTGTATGCACGAGAGAGAGAGAGAGAGAGAGAGAGAGAGAGAGAGAGAGAGAGAACTGTTCTAAGTAAATAATCCGGCAGAAGATGAGGCCTAGGATCACAAGCAATGCTGTTGCCTTTTCAGCGTCCATGTGCCCCAGCCTTTCTTGAACACAGTGTTCCCCTTCCAACCCCCTGAAACCTCTTGGGGCGGGGTACTGAGATTTTTCTCTGATCTAATCAGATGAATGGATTCATCTGATTAGAATATATAGGAATGCCCACTGAGCCTCCCATATCACATCCCCTGATTACATCCACCCTGAGAGTGAGTGTCGTGTATCTCTTCTTTTTTTTCTCAGGATTATTCCCCAGTACTTCTTCCATCCAAGTACTAGCCAGGTCTAGCTGTGCTTAGCTTTTGAGATCAGATGAGGTCGGATACATCCAGGATGATGTGGCTATAGACTCTACTTCTCATGCATCAGTGTGATGGAGGGGTCCATCTGGACTTTGCTCCAGTGATTTTGCTGTTGTACATTTTGAAGACTATGTTTCCAAACACAAAGCCTATCAAAGAACCTAAGAAAGAAATCTAACAAAGAAATCATATACAACAGAAGACCAGGATAAGAATTCCTTTCCCTTTTATATAAGGATGTTTATACTTTTCCAAGAAACTTAAAGCATCACTAAATAGAAAAATCTCAGTTGCTAAGTCATCACCTACATTGCTTTCTCAGGTTGGCTCAGCAGATCTTGCCTATTTAGCTCTTCTCTCTCTCTCTCATCCTTCCTCTCTCCCTCTCTCCTTCTCCCCTCTCCCTCTCTCTCTTCCTCTCAAGTTGTATCTCAAATGCCTTCATGGTAGAAGCACCTGGAGGCCAGGGATAGAAACTGATAAACATAAGTGTATGTTAGCTCTGTTGGGGGAGCTCACACTCAGTTGATTTTCTCCTTGGCCTCATTAGAATCACAAATGAAATGTTGACAACACATGAAGGAGCCTGCTTGTTGAACACAAATGTTTCCACTCCTATCAACCTCCAGACTCTGATAGTCATGCTGCGTGATGAAAGCTAAACAGCCCCAGGGAGATGACTACATGCTCTTTCTAATTATGCAGGGATTGGGTAAAAGGGCCTCCTAAGGACTGTGACTGAGCAGGACCGAGAATGGCTGGGGTGGGCGTCTGTAGGAAAACCTTGGGCACACAATAGGTTGCCCAATACGGGATTCCTGAATTAGATGAAAGGACACGGGTCGCTGCAAGTGCATCAGAATGGGAAGCTGTACTGTATGAACCCAGGCAGAGGCAGAATTTTCATTTTGTTACAAACGTCCCACTAGAAGGTTGTACAGGAATGTCACCACCAACAGCTTGCCTTAGAAGAGCTACTCTGGTGACCAGAAGAGGTGTCTAGAACACGAACAGGCAGAGACTGCATTGCATTCTTGGCAGACATTCCTATATGCTGGCATTATAATCCCCAAAGACAGTAAACTCCACTCACGGGCAAACGGTCCTGCGACCTGGACTTGCCTTAGCTCCACGAATATTCCTCAAGTAGATGGAGCCCACGTGCCTACGTGGTACCCATCATAGAGGCACAATAGAGCAACACTAGACGATTTATATCGCTCCATGAAACATGTTTTTCTAAGATTTCAACAGCATTTTAAAAGTTTCACTTAATCCTCCTCACACATCTATAGCTGGGTTTAGATGCTGAGAATGGAGACCAAGGAGGTCAGATAATTTATTCCAGCCCGTGCCAACAGTAACCATTAGAAACAAGACCTGAAATCCTGTGGTCTCACTCTAAAGTTTATAGTTTTGATTGGTTGTTGTTTGAGGCTTTATATTTTTGACCTGAATTTTTATTTAGCTTCAATCAGTTTATTTTTATTTATATATATATTTATGTGCATCTGTGCACGCTTGTGTATACCAGGTTCATGCAGGTACCACAAAGGTCAGAAGAGGGCCTCAGATCCCCCGGAGATGGAGTTACAAGCAGTTGTAAGCTGCCTGATGTGGGTGCTGAGCTGGGTCATGTGAAAGAACAGTAAGTGCCTTTAACTGCTGAACCATCTTTCCAGGTCTGGCTTTGTTCTTATTTTGAAACAAACTGTCACTACATGTGGCACTGAGCTCTTAACGCTCCTGCCTCAGCCTCCCAAGTGCTAAGATAATATTTGTTTGCTACCAGGCCTGGCTAGAGACATTGTAATGAAGTTAAGCATCAGGCAGATAAGCTGAGATAACAAGGACTCCTCAAGGGCAAGCTGTGTAGTTAGTGAATGTAAAGCTTTCTCAAGAAAATCGTTTTCCCCAGGAAATGTTCAACGATGTGTTTGGTAGGGCTAAGGGGAGTAAATTTCAAGAGGAAAAACACAAGGCATGATTCACTATTGCATAGCAATGTGTACACACTGAGCAATAGTTAAAAATATATGAAACATATAATCTGTCACAGAAACCCAACTATCATCATAATAAAAGTACAAAAGCCAATAAAAAAATCTATCAAGAAAAACTACATACAGCCTTCATTTTTATGTGTAACATGAGTAAGCAATCAAACACAAACATGAATTTGATTCCAATTTATATTTTTGGGGACAAAAGTAGCCAATCAAAAGATCTAAGTAAGACAATGAGTCAGTGTGAGGCCTTGGCCAGGCTTTTCTAAGCTGCCATGTGTCTTGATCTTTTTGTTTCTTTCATTAGTGCTATGTCCACCAGCATCTGCCTGTGTTTACTAGTGAGCCACATGAGCTCACTAATTACCTTTAATCATACTTATCTGAATCCTGTCTTTACCTTCACAGACATCTTGCATACAGAAGAAGTGCTGGAAGGCCATAGTTGGCGAGACTCTAGGCTGGGAGTCTGTGTTTTCTCTAACCCTGACAGTACACAGAGAACATGCCCCAAACATTGCTTCCTGTTCACCCTCTTCAGCCACTGAAATTCCCAGTGCTTACTCCAGAGAGTTACTTCCTTCCCTGGGGAAGTGGACTGCAGCAAAGAAGCCCTATGTTATTCACATTCTCTCTCTCTCTCTCTCTCTCTCTCTCTCTCTCTCTCTCTCTCACACACACACACACACACACACACACACACACACACACACACACACACACTACCACCACCACCAACAACAAAAAAGCCCCACTGGCAGCAGATTCAAGGCGTATAAACACCGAAGCAATTGATAGGGACTGAAAGACAGTATCTCTCCAATTCATCAGGAGGCCAAGCATGCTGTGTTCTTCCTAGACCACACAGCACCTCACTTGGTCCTGAGAAAAATGGGTGCTGAAGAGCACTCACAAATACTGTAGCAAACATTAGAGTCCTCACAAGTTTCATGAAGGACTGGACAGGTGTTTCATAGCCACTGTCAACCTTACTTGAATTCATGTTCCCTAATCCTCTCTGGCATCAGGTAATGTGAGACCTACTAAAGGGAGTTTCAAGTAATGACTGACTCTTCAGGCCTCTTAAATCTGAATTTCACCTTATCCTAAGAGCAAGACAAAATATGGGGCTGAACACAAACCCCTACCTTTTCTCCAGAGAAACTGTGGTGGCCTCAATTCTACACTGAACAGCCCAGAAAGGAACCTGGATGTTCATCTCCTGATTATTAAATCTGTAACTTACTGTCAAAAGGATAGGGGGGTAGGTGGGAGGGAAGCACAAGGCAGGAATAACTCTGAATTTGAAGCCAGCCTGGAATGAGTGAGTTCCTGTCTCAAAATAGAACAAACATCACAAAGTTCTCTGTATATCTATGTTCTCATAATCTGTATGTTAGCCATAAGCAGGCTGGAGGGAAAGACTAAACCTCTCTGTGTCTTGTTTTCTGTTTTGTCTTCTATTTTTTTTTAAAAAAAAAAAAAGTGATATTAATAGTAAAACCATAGTATTAGTTGCTTTTCTCATCATTGGGCTCAAATCCTGACAGTAAGCAACTTAGGGGAGGAAGATATTGCTTCAGCTTACACTTCAAGAGGAGGCAGCTCGTCTTGGCTGAGAGAGTATGGTAGCAGGAATCTGAGGCCATAGATCACAATGCATTCATAGTCATGAA